GGGCCCGCACTACCTCCTGCCCGACACCAACCTCCTCCTCCACCAGGTAAGCGGCCGCCGGAGGCGACTGTGGGAGGGGGCTGCCTCAGCGCAGCCTCCCTCTGGGCCCGGCCGTGGTCCCTGGGGAGCCTTAAAGCCCCCCTTCAGCCTCGGTTAAATCCGTGCGGGTGTGAATTACCCCGCCGGCGTGGGGTTCAGGCTCCGCTCCGGGAGAGGCGCGTTTAGCAGTGCGTTGTCGGGCTTGGGTCTTCCCGTTATTGCTCCGCTGGATCCCTGAGCGGGTCGTCTTTTTCTTTCCCTGCCAGCTACTGAGGCGGCCTCCAGCATCACCGAGCCTAGTCTGTTTTTAGACTATATTCTGGTTCCGTGTTTTGCTGTCTGAACGGCATTTTTGTTTGTTTGTTGTGGTCTGATAAATGGAAAGTCAGGCAAGGAGAGTGAATAGACGCTGAAGCAGTGATCGGGATCTTCAGGTGGTCACCGAATTTTCTTGTCAGCTTGAGTTTTCTTAAATACCTATTCTGTTTTTCAGAGACTGTTGTAGGCTTAGGTTCTTCATACTGTGATGTTGAGTTCAGGTAGTGAGTAGAGGCTGCAAAATCACCCAACGTACAGCTCTGGAAGCCTGGGATGAACTTTACTCTGCAACCCATCACTAATTTTGCAAAGGCTTGAGTCTGGTCAGTGCTGACAGTAGAATTCCAGGCTAGGATGCAGTGAATTCAGAAGCTTGATGTTTGGCCTTTTTTTATATATTACTTTTCAATACATGTGGAAAGTGGAATAGCCCTGTGCAGACACTGGAGACTGGAAGCAGTTAATGAATCCTGACATAGATGACTCTGGAGAGGGGCACAACACTCGTGTGTTTTATCATTTACCCATCCAAATGTTGTAAGGAAGGATTTTCTTCTCAAAACAGCAAGTCAAGGGATGTTTTCCGCCTATTACCTGTGGGCTTTCTCGTATCTGTTGGCAAAGTTTGTATATACATACCATAGAGCACTCTGAGGATGTGCCGGGGTATGCTGCCATGAACTGGAGCGGCAGCACTTAGGGAATCTTGGTAAAGAGCAGGAAAAGGCTTTACCTGTCAACTGGAACGGGATTTCAACAGTAAGACTTGGTCTGGTAGTTCAGCTGGTGCATGGAATAATACTGGATTTCTTGCCCTGGAAAATGGCTATGAATCTTTTAGGTCATCTAAACATCAGGTGCAGGGAGGCTTGGTCTGGCATTGCCTTTAATTCTTTTAGCCATGCCCTCTAGAGCCTTATTGCTGTCTGATTTTGGAGATGGGTTTGTACAGCTCCATGCCACAAGCTTAGGAAGTGAAGCTCACATCCTTTTCTTCTGACAGGGAGTGTGGATTTTTGATGTGCATTTCTCTCTTGCACACCGTGGCTGTCAGGAGTTGGCAAAGAAAGGTGCTAAAATTTTTTTTTAACAAATTTCCTCAAAAAAATTAAGTCTTTGAAAAGGTGAAGAGCAGCTAACAGAATTCCAGCTGATTTGAATCTGTGAAAAATAAAATTGAGGTGCAACAGTGGGATTGTTTTTGGAGAACTTAAGCCTACACGTGCACAGGCATGTCCACGTTAGCTGTGCAACAGTGATCAGGTACTATTGTATGGTTTACGTTGCTCGCAAAGACGTATGCCAGACAGCCTTTAAGTTATGTTGGATTGCTGTTAGGTTGTGTATAGATGTGTTTTGTTTAGAAAACTTGTCATTTACAAGAACCCATGTTACGTAAACAAAATTTCTAGTGCACACCTGACCTTAAATTTGATTGGAGTTCTGCATACATTGGGGCTGAATTTGGTGGAAGTCATAATAAGGTCTTCACTTCAGCAAAATTCAGGTCACGAAGAGGCTGGAAAATCCTATTTGAACTTTTTGCCCACAAGCAGGAGGAAGCAGCTTAATACTGTGCAGTTTCCCAATGGTGAGAGAAAAAGGCAGAAGTAACACTGTTCGTGTTAGCTTTTTACACATGAACCAAACAAGTATTTCAAGTCCTGTTATTGTATAGAATTAAATAGCAATTTTGGTTAATTTTCATTTTATTCCTCAGATTGATATACTTGAAGATCCTGTTATTAAGAATGTCATTGTGCTACAGACAGTCTTACAAGAAGTCAGGAATCGGAGTGCACCAGTATACAAGCGAATTAGGGACGTGATTCAAAACCCTGAAAAACATTTCTATTCTTTCACCAATGAACATCATAGGTAAGGAACAGGGTATAACAAAGTTGTGCTGATGTCAAGTAAGAGACACTCACTGGGAAACAAAGCTAGAATGTGTAGACTGGGGTCCGTAGAACTGTGTACTTCAAAGGAATCCTATTGGGAAATAGTTGCATGTTCCAGGAGCTTTTCTGGTTTATAATTAGTATAGGCATATATATATTATGAAAAGATGATTGAAATATTGAATAAATTTTACAGACAAGACTGTTAACTTGAGCAATGATTTTCCATTTTAGTGTGCCTTTTAAACATATTCCAATACTCTATTAATGTTGCCAGCTCAGTCTGTAGCAGAATTCAAAAATCTGTTAGTCAGTTAGTGACAGAAAACTCTAAGAAATGAAGATGCCATTAATTTTCCTTTATTTGTGCTCACAAATAGTTTGCAGTACTGCGCTATCACAGTTCTAGGCATCTTGAATCTGTAGTTCCAGCAACTTGAATGCAGTCCTTTTCAACTGTCAGTGAGAAAGTTGTGTTAGAAATTAACACTTCCTTCCTATTTTTCTTTACCCTTCTGTCTCCTGACCCTTCAGTGGCCTATAGCTTGTTACACATATTATAAAAATTGGTACAGCAATGGTTCTTTTGCTCTCACAGTCTTGATCTTGTTTGTCTAAAAAATTTTTGTAAGTATGGATAGATGTTAGGATTTGTTTTGTTTTGTTTCCTCCTTTTTTATTTAGAGAAACATACATCGAGCAAAAGCAAGGAGAAAGTGCTAATGACCGCAATGACAGAGCCATTCGGGTAGCAGCGAAATGGTACAATGAACACTTGAAGGAAATAGAGGATGAGGAGAAGATTCAAGTTATCTTTTTAACAAATGACAGAACTAATAAAGAGAAAGCTCTAGAGGAAGGGATAACTGCTTATACATGTAAGTGAAGTCGCACGTATGTTTAATTTATTGCTCAGATAAACAGTCTCGGCAGTCTCTACATAGCTAAATGCTGTGCCTCTCTTCATAAATATTTCTCTGTGTGCTCTTTTGTAGGCGAGGAGTATATAAAAAGCTTGATCGCTAATCCTGATCTTGTAGATCGTCTTGCTTGTGTATCTGATGAAGGGGTATGATTTTATCTTCTTCCTATAAAATAATCATAAATGGTTTGCAGTACATTATTGGTCCCTGTATGTCAGGCTACTAGTATCACTTTAGAATATGAAGACTCTGGACTTTATTACTGTTTTGGCAATGTAACTTTTTGACAAGTGAAAAGAAAAGAGGAAATTTTGCAGCTGTTTTCACTGCTGCTTATATGCCTATTAGTAGGTGTCTGGTTATTTGTAAGGCGCCAGTTGCTTTAGCTAACTGGTGTGAAGATGAGAATAATACAGTTTGTTAAAGAAAGTGTATAAATATTGGAAATAACGAAACAAAATTAAAACTACAGAAGTGTATTGCAAACCACTTAGATCTTTGTTTTGTGTCTGTTATTTGAAAGCTTATGTTAACGTATTGATCAAAAGCATGTTCTATCAAAGCTCTGATTTTTGTGGTCAGTTAAGTTGATGTAAGTGCAGGCTGCAGCCCAAAGATGAGCTACATCCTCTTCTATTTCCTTGTGCTTTGTGTTTATCAGAATCAAGACTTCTATTTTCACACAAGACTTATATAGCTGAAAACTAACGCCACCAAAAAATAGGAAGGTTAGTTTCATCAGGGTTAGTTCTAACAGAATAGAGTGGGATATACAAAAGTGGGAAGAAAGTGGAGGGCTCAGCTGATCTCCTCAGCAGTTAGCTGTAGTGTTCATTCAGCTTGAAGTAACTGTCTGACTGCTCCAAAGTTCAGTCACAGTAATGTATTTTCATGATGTTTTGTATAGCCTACAGTATATGCTCACACCGTGTGCCATACTCTTTACTATGTAGTACTATGCTAGTATTTTCTTTGCTAAGTATATGTTTAGTCAGTGTATCAAATCAACATAAAAGCCTGTCACTTGTGCAGTATCTTTTTAAGTAACTAGGCAAACAGGAAAAGAAAAGGAGGTGTTCCTAAAACTGCCATGTTTCTGTGTTCTTTATGCTTCATTAGAAAAATTATTGCTTAGCGGTAGTTTTTCGTTATTGTGCATATTCAAACCTATACATAGTTACAGTTTTGGAGTGTGTTAGCTTGAGTGCCATGTTCCTGAGATGGTTTTGGAATAATAATAAATACAAAAGACTGAAAATTTCCTTTCTTTTTTTTTCTTTTTTTTTTTTAAAGAAAGAAATAGAAAGTGGAAAAATAATTTTCCCAGAACACATTCCTCTTAGCAAATTGCAGCAAGGAATAAAATCTGGTATTTACCTCCAAGGAACTTACAGGGCAAGCAGAGATAATTATCTTGAAGCTACTGTTTGGGTTCATGGAGATGCTGAAGAAAACAAAGAGGTGAGTTTTTTTGTGTGAACTTTGTGAGTTTTTCATGCTGTGAAATTTAACTAGGCTCAGTAATGACTTAAAATGTAATTCTTTCATGGTGACATATGTTAAAATGGAGCATTATAGTAATTTTTCCTTACTTGTTTTTTCTGAAGTTTTTTCTTTGTTTTCGTTTGTTTATTTACAAGTATATAGACTACTGAAAGCTGACTGCTCTTTTTGAAAAAAGAATAACATGTTTAAAATGGTACTTTGTCCTTTGATAAAGTATTTGGTAAAACAAAGCTGAATCTTTGTTGTTTCAATTGACTTTAATATAATGCTTTTTTTTTTTTTTTTTTAATTGGTTTGAACTATATGATGAAAGACAGAGAAACCCGTTTGTAGGAGGATTTTCAGAAAAGCTGTGGCGAGCCCTTGTGGAGCGCTCCTGCTTTATTTCCCATGCTAGTTTCGTGCCTGGTGATGAGTAGGTAGGCTGTGTCCCTCCAAGCAGTTAACCTGGCTGTCTGCCCACTGGTTTCTCTGTTGGTGCAGTTGTACAGATGCTGTTTCCAAGCAGCAGCATTTGCCTTCTCCCTCCCTATTTGTGGTGGCAGATGGAGGTGTTTCTCTGGCTCTCTCTTTCTTCTATTCCTATTTTCCAGTAGAACGTGGAGTCCCCTAGTCTGCAAAAATAGGATTGTCTCATGATTTTTTTATTTTTTTTTAAGTCTGGGGAAAACAGTTATTTTTATAGAAGCATTGGAGTCAAAATATCATTGGTACTGAAAGAAACCTAGGCAGAGGGGAAAAAAAAAAGTGTCACAAAGATGCCTTAAAATGTTCTTTAGAGTGCAGAGCCTGTTACACATGTATAATCTTCTGTTGTACTGCTTTGATTTGGGTCTTCTGTTGCTATCATTGTGAATATTTACATTTTCATTTTGTTTTCTAAAAAATCCAGATAATTATACAGGGACTGAAACACTTAAACCGAGCAGTTCATGAAGATATTGTAGCTGTGGAGCTGTTGGCAAAAGATGAATGGGTGGCACCATCCTCAGTGGTGTTGCAAGATGATGGCCAGAATGAAGATGACATTGAAAATGAAGAGGAGAAAGAAAACATTGTATGAAATAAACAGGTTTTTACTTAACTCTTACTTTGAGAGAGATGAAATGTGCAGTACTCTGACAGTGTTAGGCTTTAGATATATACTGACTCCTGAAAGCTATTGTGAATTTGGAAATTAGAAAACTTAATTGTAGTTGCATTAAATATGTGATTATGTAGAAGATGGATACTTTTTAATCAGAAATTCTCACATCTCTCTGTTAAACTTAATAAATCCAAAAGTTACTGAGTGGTGAGTCAGGTAATAATACAAAGCTGTATGTTGATGTGCAGATTAGGATTTGCTAGAATAGGAGCAGGTGCTGTATCGCAATGACAGTCAGCTTTTATAGGCAATGCATATGTTTACAGGGTTGTAAAATGCTCTAGCTTCTTGTAGTAATTCCGCTTGATGTGTGTGCAGTGTCCCCATGTCTATCTGGTCCAACAAGTATTTGCATTTCTTTAAAATCATGGTCTTCCTGCTGCAGTCCATGAGAATGTTTTTTAATTACTGTGTTTAGAATTGCTGGAGAATTTTCAAGCAATGTAAAAGGATGACTTAAAATTATAATAATAAATTGGAAAAGAAAGTGGAGATAGTTGTGTAGTGAGCAGAGGCAGTGGAACAAGATAGCGTTTCTTCAGTGTCTTTTTCTTTGTTTTTCTGAAACTATGTCAATTTTTTAAAAAAAAGAACACAACAGAGTAGTCATGTCACATATTAAAATACTAAAAATCATGCAAAGCACAGGGAGGCGCAGTTCTGTTTATGAAGTCATAATAGAATTTATGGTATTATAGTGACACATAAGTTGTTACCACTAAGGTTTGAGATACATGCTGTAGTCAGACAGGTTGCCATGAGTTCAGTCAGTTTTATGGTTTTAACCCCTTTGTGTTCTACCAGCTGAAGACTTCTGTTAACAAGGACATGCTGAGACCTACAGGAAAAGTAGTGGGCATTATAAAACGAAACTGGCGACCCTTTTGTGGCATGCTTTCCAAATCACAGATCAAAGAGGTAAGGAAAAAAGTTATTGTAAGTGCAGATTTTTTATTTTTTCTTTAATTTGAAATTATTGGTTCCTTTTTCTGGCTGTTAATAGGCAAGGCGCCATTTGTTTACACCAGCTGATCGCAGAATTCCTCGCATTCGAATAGAAACAAGACAAGCAGATACATTGGAAGGACAAAGGATAATTGTTGCTATTGATGGTTGGCCCAGGAATTCCAGGTATCCTAATGTAAGTTTAAATGATTTTTTTCAGATTTTTTTTTTATCTGTCCAGTTTTTGTGTGTTTACTAGGTATGATGTTTTATTTTTGTCTGCAATAGAGTTAAGTAACTTCAGAAAGTGTTGACGTGATTTGTAAGTTCTTTGAATGCCATTCTTGAATGGTGCAAATTAAGGAAGTCAATAAATTATTTAGCTTATTCTTACCCCCAAAACACAAGTATGGGTTATCACACTTAAAAAGCTTGGTCCTTACGTTCTGCAGTGAACATATATGTGCTAACTAAGGTGCTTTATTTAGGCTAACTAGGAACTGCCTATTTTTTAGTCTGGGTCCCTGAAATGTGAACCTTTTGCTGTGGTTTTGCTTCTCTACACACTGATCACCATCCTGGCAAGCAAGTTTTAAACAGGTTGGCCAAATTCAGTCAAATTGCCAGTGGGGCAGAGTTCCAGGAAAGTTTGTTCTTAGAAGTTCTTTGTAAATATACAGGAAGATAAAAGAGAAATTGAGGACACTGGCTTAAACTTGTGTTGAATGTTAGGTTTTGAGGAGGCTTCCATTGGCTTGTGTAGGAATGTATAGCTTGTAATGAATGAAAGCACAGCTGTCTCACGTGTGTTTAGAGAAATGGAGGAAACTTGGACGATATGAAAGGCATGTTAAGACAAAGAGCTAGCGGTGTTCCCCAAGGGTCAGTACTGGGTCCAGTCTTCTTATTCAACATATTCATCAATGACCTGGGTTGAAGGGCAGAGTGCACTCTCAGCAAGTTTGCTGGTGATACAAAACTGGGAGGAGCGACTGACAGGAAAGGAGAGAAGGGCGGTCCTGCCACTCTGCGAGACCTGGACAGGCTGGAGAGCTGGGCAGAGAGGAACCTAATGAGGTTCAATAAGGGCAGGTGTAGGGTCCTGCACATGGGGAGGGATAACCCCATGCACCAGTACAGGTTGAGGGCTGACCTGCTGGAGAAAAGCTCTGCAGAGAAGGACCCAGGAGTCTGGGTGGACAGCAAGTTGGCCATGAGCCAGAAATGTGCCCTTGTGGCCAAGAATGCCAGTGGTATCCTAGGGTGTATCAAGAAGAGCGTGGCCAGCAGGTTGAGGGAGGTTCTTCTCCCCTCCTACTCTGCCCTGGTGAGGCCACCTCTGGAGTACTGTGTCCAGTTCTGGGCCTCCCTTCTCAAGAGAGACAGGCAACTACTGGAGAGAGT